AGACGTAAAAGCCTAATTATACAGTGCGAAACAGCTCCCTTTACTTAAAAATGTTAACCAGGTATCATGGGGGGTTACTTTCTTTCTATCTTATTAAGTAGCATTTTGTTAACCTTGCATTAAAGACTGCAGAAAAGGTTAAATTTATCAAACACTTTTAGAAGGTCATGGTAATCTTTATCTGTTTCTTTGCAAGGGGATTTTCTGATTGGTTTAATTCTCCAAATATAGGTAACAATTGATAATTACCTTTTGAAATCGGAAAAACTTAAAATATCAGTGAGCGGGACGTATATTTCATCAGAGTAGCATGTAGTTTTTTTACAGGACAGCAAAAAAGAGCATTATTTGAAACACGCAAAAAGTTAAAAGCTTCCTAGAGTTTTTGCTTCAAATCAATTCGTTTCCGTATAACATAAGTTTCTACGCATGGGCTTTTGTTATTAAACAGAGCTACCACTGGGATATAGAATTAGGAACCCCTTGATAAACTTTACCTTGCATTAACTTATGAAGGGATATATTTATGGTTAAGGCCGAAATTATGTTTACTGGGTGATTAAGGTAGGGCTAAGCATGCTGCAACAATTTAGGGCGTTCAGAATGCCTACGATTATAACGCTTATTAAGTAATTTTTGATTTACTTACACAGTTTTATGCACTGCGCAACGTTAATGCTGCTGCGTGTTATACCGGTGTTGTTTCAACGGTTGTTGTGACAAAGAACGAAAATTGAAACATTGGCTTCTCGGAAGAAATTTTAACAAGGCTTACAGAGTCCTGCCCTAGTAGCACGGGCAGATCAAGTGGACAAAATCCGCTATAAATCCGGCCTATATATCCGGATTTTTTGAGCAGGATTTCATGACGGAATCCGCTTGGATTTTCTACGAGGGGGACGTGGATCAAGTAGACTCCGAACGGCAGGACTTGCCCATGATTACGGTTATCCATCCTTCGTCTGCTGGGACAATCATAATTTGAATTCACCAATGACCCTTATCGTCGTCAGAGGAAAGTTAAACCCGTGAGAAATTTTGACTGTCACACTAGA